CCTGCATCAGTACGAGGTGCGCGAGGGAGCAGCAGAGGAGAGTGCTCCCTCGCGCGCCGGACGGGTGTCAGCAGGGCCAGCCTCTGGGGGGCCCTGAGGTGACCGGCTGCTGGGCCCCCCAGGAGAAGAGGCTGGCCCTGTGGGTACATACTGGGTCGCAGGGCCCCCTGCGACCCGGTATGTACCCACTGAATGTGGGGCCCGGATGACCTTAGCAGTCCGGGCCCCCCAGGACCGCCGGGCTCATGACAACCGTTGCGTTGTCATGCCCTGATGGCGGCCCTGGTCACAGAGATGGAACTATATCAAGGGATCAAGGGGTGTCCAACTTTAAAGCCAATTTAGCTAAATGCGAATTGGTGCCACTCCACACTACCCCTGATGTTAATACAGCACTTACGCAGCGCTTCCAGTTTGCGTGGACGGAATCAGACATTAAATATCTAGGGATCCACCTCCCCTGATGACCGGAACGGTTGTATGAGACCATCTTTCCACCACTTTTGGCGGCCATCACAAATGATCTAAAAACATGGCATAAACCACTTTTTGGATGGTTCAGACTACTCAATATTATTAAGAGGAATATCCTTCCATGTATCTTGTACCTACTGCAAACGATTCCCATTTCCTTCCCTAAGATTTTCTTGGAGTCCATCTGTAAACTTCTGACTAGGCCTCACTTGGAAGGTGGTCTAGGCCTCCTGAGTGTGGAAAAATATCATCAGGCGGTCCACCTCTCCAGGGTTTATGACTGGACAAATACCAACACGAGCACACAATGGGTTAAGATTGAGGGCACTTTTCTCGAAATCCCCATACACACGATTCCGTGGCATGGAAAAGGCCGCATTTACATATGGTTCAAACACCTCCTGACCATTTCCACCACCTTAGAGTCTGGTACACAGCCAGACAGGTCGCTGGCATATCCCCACATCCATCCCCGCAATACCCACTCACTCACATTCCTTTGTTTCCAGAGGGGCGATCGGACACCAACTTACGTTCATTCCATGGCATGCAGGTACTGGCGCTCTGAGCCACGATACAGGAGGGTGAGATCAAAACCATGTCACAACTACTCCTCAATCAGGCAGCTACGGGCACCCAACACCTACACCATGCCCAAATTTTCCATTTCATACACAGCACCAGCCTCCTCCCGAAGGGGAATAGGAACCTCACGAAATTTGAATTAACATGTCAGGAACACACATTAAAAAGGAAAATTCTATCAACCATATACTCTCTTCTGATAGAAGCAAACTCCCAGGCCATACCCAGGACATGGTTTTGATCTCACTTTGCCATTGAAAATTCTATCAACCATATACTCTCTTCTGATAGAAGCAAACTCCCAGGCCATACCCAGGACATGGTTTTGATCTCACTTTGCCATGAGGTGGACGGAGGAATTGCAGGTAGAGATCACTCCGGATCAGTGGAAAGCAATTTTTCTAAGAGCATACACATCGTCTACTAACCTAGGCACACAAGAAAGCAATTACAAATGCATTACAAGATGGCACTATACACCAGCGAAAATTCATAAAATTCATGATAATGCCTCAGATGAGTGCTGGAGATGCCACCAACACAATGCTCACACGACTCACATATGGTGGCAATGCCCAGAGATCCAAAGGTTTTGGAAACTTATTCACACAATGATCCAGACAATCTTCTCCTCCAAAATCCCATTCTCCCCTGAATATCTTTTACTCTTAGCACCCATCCCGAATATCAAGGCCAACATGGCCACATTGGTAGCCCACCTACTGACGGCAGTGAACCTGCTGATCCAGGTTTTGTGGAAACAGGCCTAAGTACCCATGGTCAGGGAATGGACACACAGGGTGGAATTTGTAAGACAAATGGAAGAGATCACCTTTTCGATCAGTAATAGATACACAAATTCGCTCAGATATGGGGCCCATGGCGTACCTTTATCCACTTGAGGACTACCCCCCAGGATACCTAGCCCAGAACCTGATGAAAGCAGGATACTGAGGTGGAGTAGTATACATGTCTGGTTACGCTTATAGCATACTAATGCTACATGTGATGTAACATAGCGTGCAACGAAGTGGATGATCCCCCCCACCTCACTTTTTCTTTTCTGTATACCCCCAACTGCAATTAATTTTACTGTACCGTTTTATGCAACATAAAATGATTTTATTTTAAAAAGCCCTTCATATATGCTGCTTCACATCCAATTATATTTGAATTTCCAAGTGTGCGTGTCATTACTGTGTATATAATCTGCATTGTATGTATTTTTTTTCATTGTAACTTTTTATTAAACTCTTTTTTTAAGGTTGTATGTTGTGGCTAATCTGCTTTTTATTTTTTAATGTTTTAAAATACAATTTGCTCTCATAAGATAACTAGATCATTCTAAAAGATGATGACTTACAAATACATGCTGTTTCCTTTAAATATTGATTTCCTGTGTACATGACACAGGGTATCACTGTCCCCAGTGGTACTCAATTGTCTCAGGGTACCCTCGACGCACTGGAGGGTGCTTCTCTGCGGTCCTAGTGTCTGTGGCTCCTGCACCCATCACCTCAGCTAGTCTGTCTTGTTATCTTCCTGGTTACCTGACTTAGGCATGCTTTCTGCACTGACCACCTGACCTCGATTTCTACATGTCATCACCTACCTGACAGTACCCTGTCTCCACCTCCAGGGTACCCCTGAAGGTTGTGCTTGTAAGGGATCACTACTATTGAAAACCAACCTAAGATAAGTGGACCATCACACAAGGTGGGTCATCACACTTAAAGGACCACTATAGTGCCAGAAAAACATACTCGTTTTCCTGGCACTATAGTGCCCTGAGGGTGCCCCCACCCTCAGGGTCCCCCTCCCGCCCAGCTCTGGAAGGGGGAAAGGGGTAATAACTTACACCTTTTTTCCAGCTGGTGAGAGCTCTCACCTCCTCTAAAGCCTCCGATCAAGCCCGCTGAGATGCGCCATGGCAAAGGCTTCTTGTGGCGCATTCAACTTGATCTCACTAGGAAAGCATTTTCAGTACTTTTCGCTTGGGCACTTGGTAACTCTCATAATAGCGGTTGGGAAACGCATAACTCAGTGACTGTCGATGAGGACGGCCGCAGAGGCTGGGGAAGACCCAGCCATTCCATAATTAGCAGTTTCTCTGAAACTGCTATAATTATGAAAAAATGGGTTAACCCTAGAAGGACCTGGCACCCAGACCACTTCATTAAGCTGAAGTGGTCTGGGTGCCTAGAGTGGTCCTTTAAGTGTTTGTTAGACACAGGGTGTGATGCAACATCATGATCTAATAAAGTAGATCAGTTGTAGTAAAGGTTTAGTTTGAAGAATATAAGAGATGGAAGGAAAGAAGCAGAGTAGAGACAAGGAGGGGTGGGGAAGGGAGATTATTGAGATTAAATCCCAAAATCGAGGATTTAAAGAGTTTGGTGGAGGAAGGTAAGTGTACATGTACGCAGGGCCGGCCTTAGGCAATTAGGCGCCCTGTGCAAAAAGTCTTCACGGCGCCCCCCCCACCTCCCACCAAGTTGCCTGAATACAGTAACACACACAGGCACCGGGGACGTGTGTATCACGAGGCAAACAAGGCATCTGCCTTGGGCGCCACTTTGCAGGGGGCGGCAAAAAAAAGCATCCCTCCAAACCCCCAGGCAGATCCCTTGCTTGCCTCGCATCCTGGGGGGCTCAAGAGCTGACCGGCTGGCCACTTTTGAGCCCCCCCAAGGCTGGCAGCGGGCAGCGAAGGAGCATACTCACCTGAGCTCTTCCTGCTCAGCTTCCTCTGCGCCGCTTAATGAAGCCGGGAGCCAGAATATGACGTCAGTCCGGCTCCCGGCATCACTAAGCGCTGCTTACTCAGCCTGTGCGCCCCCTGCCTGCCTGCCCAGCAGCCACACTGGACTGCTGGTAAGAAATCCACTCCAGCTTTCCCAGGGAGGCTGGGTGGATTTAAAATAAATGTAAAAAATATTAGTTTGTGAGTGTTAGTGGAAATGTCTGTGTGTGTGTCTGTGAGTGTTTATTTTGAAGTGAATGTGTGTGTGTGTGTGTGTCTGTAAGTGTAATTGTGTGTGTCTGTAAGTGAATGTGTGTGTGTCTGTGAGTGAATGTGTGTGTTGGTCAGTGAGTGTATATGTGTCAGTCAGTGAGTGTGTATGTGTCAGTCAGTGAGTGTGTATGTGTAGTCAGTGAGTGTGTATGTGTCGTCAGTGAGTGTGTATGTGTCGTCAGTGAGTGTGTATGTGTCGTCAGTGAGTGTGTGTCGGTCAGTGAGTGTGTAGGTCAGTGAGTGTGTATGTGTCGGTCAGTGAGTGTGTGTTGGTCAGTGAGTGTGTGTCAGTCAGTGTGTATGTGTCGGTCAGTGGAGTCGTGCATCTTTCAGTGAGTGCTTGCGTCTGTCAGTGAGAGTGTGCATCTGTCGGTGTGTGTCCAAGTAATAGTGTATGTGTGTATGTCATTGTTTGTCAGTGTATATGAGAGTGTGTGTCTGTCAGTGAGTGTGCGTCTGTCAGTGAGTGAGCGTCTGTCAGTCAAAGTGCGGCCTTGACAGGAAGGGGTGGGGGAAATTTAAACTCGGTTACAGGCATGTACACACACACTCTGTTAAAGGCAGTCACACATACAGGCACAGGCACAAACAATGGCACAGCGACACACACAGACAGACAGTCACATAGGCAGTCACACACACAGACAGACACACAGTAACACACACATAGACAGTTATACACACACAGGCAGGCAGTCACACAGATAGAAAGTCACACACACAGGCAGGCAGTCACACACAGACAGATAGTTACAGACAGACACACACAGGCAGGCAGGCAGTCACATACAGGCAGTCACATACAGGCAGTCACACACACAGGCAGTCACACACACAGACAGGCAGTCACACACACACACAGACAGTCACACACACAGACAGTCTCACACAGACAGACAGTCTCACACACACAGGCAGTCACACACACGGGCAGTCACACAGACAGACAGTCACACAGACAGACAGTCACACACACAGGCAGTCACATACATGGGCAGTCACACAGACAGACAGTCACACACACAGACAGTCACACACAGGCAGGCAGTCACACACAGAGACAGTCACACACAGAGACAGTCACACACACACACAGAGACAGACAGTCACACACACACACAAGGACAGGCAGTCACACAGACAGTCACACACACACACACACAGACAGTCACACGCACACAGGCAGGCAGTCACACAGACAGTCACACGCACACAGGCAGGCAGTCACACAGACAGTCACACACACACACAGACAGTCACACAAACAGGCAAACAGTCACACACACACACTTACCTCTTTCCAGTGGATGCAGTTGGCTGATGGGGAAGCATCTTCCCCTCTTCCTGTACAGCAGGGGCTTCGGGAGGTATTAGCCCCGTCTCCGCCTCTCGATAAGCCCCGCCTCCGCCGCTCGGTAAACCCCGCCCCCTCTGCCGCGATTTTTTTTTTTTTTAAAATAGACCCGGGTGGAGAATAATTAATCCTCCAGCCAGGTACCTCTTTTAGCTCCCCTGCACTCCGGCCATGAGTGAGCTGTGTCGGCCACAGGGCGCCCCCTGTTCCATGGCGCCCTGTGCGGTCGCACAGCTCGCACACCCCTAAGGCCGGCCCTGCATGTACGTTTAACAGATAAGTTAGGATTATGCTAGCTTTAGTGTATTAGTCATCTTAATTCTAATAATGACAGGATGCAAATATTTTGCATTAACTTTCTTTGCTCACTCCACAGTAGCAAAGAACATAGAAATAAAGAATCAACCAGAGATAAGCAAAGTATATATAACATGCATCTCCCACTGAGGTACTTCCTCTTGATACAGCAACATCACAAGTTACACATCAGAAATTACACAATATATGTAGAAGAAGAACATCCAAGTAGTATTCTAAAAAACAAGGAAAACTGTTGGAAACCAGGAACAATTGTAGGCCCATATAATCAGAAGACCGTTGTGTAGAATGAAGCTGAAAGAGAACATTTTAGTGATACAGAAACCTAAAGGGACACTATAGTCACCAGAACAACTACAGTTTATTGAATTTGTTATTGAATTTGTTCTGGTGAGTAGAATCATTACCTTCAAGTTTTTTGCTGTAAACACTGTCTTTTCAGAGAAAATGCGGTGTTTACATTACAGCCTAGTGATAACTTCACTGGCCACTCCTCAGATAGCTGTTAGAGATCCTTCCTGGGTCATGGTTGCCTAAAATGCATCCAAACATTCAGTAGCTCCTCCCTCTGCATGCAGACACTGAACTTTACTCATAGAGATTCATTGATTCAATTCATCTGAATTGTGCTGGCTCTGCCCCTGATCTGCCTCCTTGACCGTCTCAGCCAATCCTATGGGGAAGCATTGTGATTGGATCAGGCCACCACTTCTGATGCTGTCAGCAGACTGCTTGTTTTTTTGAGGCAAGCAGCATGCAAATCGACAGCTTCAGGCTTGAATACAGTAAGAGTTTGCTATATTTATGGAGGCATGAGGGGCCCAGGGGGGCTAGATGGTGGTTTTAACACTATAGGGTCAGGAATACATGTTTGTGTTCCTGACCCTATAGTGATCCTTTAATCGTGAACAAATGAGTGCAAAAACAAGTACAAAATATAGGGTGCACAATTAAAAACACCACCACACAATGTGAAATACTTATATCAAGGAGGACCTTACAATTTGTCTCTTGTTATCTGTAACATATACAACTGTACATAGTGTAATACTGTATATATACAGATATTTAAGTACACAGAGGTAATGGGTCACTCACTCTTCCCAGAGCCACGTATAGCAGGCTCTCTCTGTGATGGCTTATCAGCAGATAAAGTTGCTGGAATGAATTCTGGAATTCTGTTATATTCCCAAATATTCAGGAAACTTGAAGGTTTTTCTCAAATTGATTTACTTTAATAAAGTGCAGAAAACCGGATATCGCAGCAGACAAATAGTTTTGGAGAGGTAGGATAAACAAAATACCACAAAAAACATATAAATATAACAAATACAAAAATATCAAAAATATATAATATGTTTTTGAAATTGATTACTAGGGATAAGAAAATATAAAAATAGATATAAGTTCCTACCCAGCATATAGTGCATATAAGAGGATGAAATTACATTAAAACTGCCTGTGGCGGGACCGTTCCCTAACTGTGAATTG